TGGGGCGGGCAGAGCCACTGTGATGCTGGCCTCTGTCCTGGACACCTGAGTCCTAATTGCTCCACTTCCCACCCAGCTTTCTGATAACAGCCCAGGAAAGCAGCGGAAGGTGACCCAAATGTTTGGGCCCTGCACCCATGGGGGGCGTGGGGGGCTGCTGAAGTTCTACCGCCTGGTTCTGGGCTCCAGCCTGACCCAGCCCTTTCTCTGGCAGACACCTGGCGATGAGCCAGAGGACGGTAGAGTTCTCTCTCTCACCATGCCTGAAGAACCACAGTGGGTGTGTTGGATGTTGTAGACACCTGGGGGTGTCTGTAGCACACATCAAATTCCTACTAATGTGCACCCTGACAGACGGTGATGATTCAAGCAGCTGGATCCCCAGGGCCAACATGGACGGATCTGCAGCCGACGTGGGAGGACCTGTGGCTGACATGGGGGGACTTGCAACTGACATGGGGGGACTTGCAACTGACACTTGCACTGGAGCACACACGGGGTTTGATCTTAGTGGATCCCTGCCCAGGAAGGCTGGGCTGCTGCTTCTAGCTGGCTTCACCATGGCTGTTAGAAGCACTTGGGGAGGGAACCAGCGGAAGGAAGACCTCCATCTGCCCTTCTGTCTTTCAAATACAATGAACGAACATAAATAAATAGAAATGTTTAAAAACACACAATGAGATCTCCGCTCCTACTGAGGCTGCGTGCCATGGAAGGAGTGTAAATGCATGCCGGGAGGCAAGACTCAGCTTCCCCTGCGGCTGGAGGTGGCTCTGTTGGTACTGGGCAGCCCTACGCTGGGGTTCAGGCCGGAAAGCTCAGAGCTGGGCACTCCTGGGTACCTGATGGATCCAGCACCAGCTGTGACATCCAGAGCAAAGCGTAAACCCCGGTTCCTGTTACTGGAGCCAACAGAGGGAGTCAGGTAGGGAAGGGGGTGGGAAAACACTCAGATGGCCAGATCCCCAGGACCTCTCGAGTGAGGAGTCCCAGGTCCCCACATACGTCTCTGTGACCTCATTCACCAGTAGATCAAAAAGTCGGACTTCCAGCAAGGAGGGAGATTCTGCTGATGGACAAGGTGCACTGAGCAGACGCTGTCCATCCTAGCACAAAGGGCCTCTGCGAGCCTGGAGGCCAGAGTGCAAGGGACAATACAAGTGACCACACTGAGCGTGGCTTTGGGAGTGGACGCCACGTAATGACACCAGTGACCACACTGAGCGTGGCTGAGGGAGTGGATGTTAAGTGTTCTTGCCAAAAACAGTGTGTGCAACTACTCAGCTCAGTGATTTTGACTGACCAGCCTGGGATGGCTCTCCCAGAACTTACACATATTTCAGAATCTCATGTCATACTCTGCCAGCGTGTGCTTACCTCCCAGGTACTGGGAAGGCCACGGCAGGCTTTGCTCGCTGCAGAGGCTCAGCTGGACTCCATCCGTCTCCTGGTGGCTTCGGAGTCCTGGGCTCAGCAGTCTCTGGGGTCTGCATCTTGGCTGTGTGTCCTTCTCCTTGGCTGCCCCCCACTAGTTATGATGGCGGTGGGGGCATCCATATAACTCCCACTTCAAGCTCTTCATCCCAAGACCCCCCACTTCATCACATCCACAGTCACCACTCCAGGCCCCGCCTGCCCACCCCCCAGCTGGTGGCCTCCAACACCCCTTTGCACCTCTGCTGGTCCTAACCTTAGGGCTGTCATCTCCAGAGCGGCCCTGGGAGGGGGCGCAGCGGAGCTGGTCCCCAGGTTTCTGTTGGGCCTTGCTGGGAACCCACATGATTGAGAGTAGCCTGGGGAGAGGGAATGGGGCTCATCCCAGGCCCTCCGCTAGCTCTGACGGCTCCAGTAGCAGCCTCCAGTTTCTGTTCATTTCCCGGCATGAGCTGCGAGGCCAAAGCCATTTTCAATTCCTCCTAGGACATCATTTGCCATTTCTGCAGAGCTGGTGGTCACACACGTGGAACCGAACGCAGCAAGGAACGCTGTTGGCCCGAATGGGGAGACACGCTCACTACACCAGCCACGAGCTGCACAGTGCCAGGCACCGGGGGCCCAAAATGCCACACTCATGTCAGAATGCTTGTTTTAAAATAATTAATTGGAAGGCAGAGCATGACAGAGAGAGGGAGAGACCCAACCTTCCATCCAGTGGTTCACTCCACAAATGCCTACAGTGTCCACTGAGTCAGCAGCCAGGAGCTCCACCTACAGCTCCTAAGTGGGCGGGCAGAGGCCAAGCGCATTGGCCGTCATCTACTGCCCTTCTAGGAGCATCAGCAGGAAGGTGGATGGGGCTCAGAGCGGTGCTCCGACCAGAGGAGAGCGTCACACCCTGTGCTCCACTGCAAAGTGAGCACTGCAGGTTAGCTCAGCCCGCGGCACCACAGTTCAAGGTGTGCAGGGGCATCTCAGGGGCCAGTGTCGTGGTGCAGTGGGTTAGGCTGCTGCTTGCAGTGCCAGTGTCCATGTCACAGTGCTGGTCCACGTCTGATCCAGCATCCTGCTAATGTGCCTGAGGAAGCAGTGGAGGATGGTCAGTGCCTGTGAGCAGCTCCACAGCTGGTCCATGGGCACAGGGGCAGGCGGCCTCCAGGGAGCGGAACCAGACATCCAGGCTCAGCTGGGAGCAGGGAGGAGGCGTTCATGAGAAAGGTGGGCTTGCGGGGGTCCAAGCACCTCGTGCTTGGCGGAGGACAGTCACTTTCTGCCACCTTTATGGGCCCCTGGGAACAGCGCTGGCCTTCCTCTGGCTCCTGAGAGAAGGCAGCAGGCACTGAAAGGCTGCACCCAGCTGGGGCAACTTCTTCATTTTTAAAAATCCTTTAATTTTTTTTTAATTTTTAAAATACTTATTTCTATTGGAAAGTCAGACTTTACAGAGAGAAAAATCTTCCATCCACTGATTCTGCAAGTAGCCGCAATGGCTAGAAATGCCTGGAGCCAAGAGCCTCCTCCGGGTCTCCCTTGCGGGTGCAGGGTCCCAAGGCTTTGGGCCGTCCTCGACTGCTTTCCCTGTCACAGGCAGGGAGCTGGATGGGAAGTGGGGCTGCCTGAACTGGTGCCCAAAAGGGATCTTGGAACATACAAGGCGAGGATTCAGCTGCTAGGCTCATGTGCTGGGCCCTGATTGTGACTTTCTTTTAAAGATATATTTATTTTATTTGAAAGCCAGAGTTACACAAAGACACTTCATCTGCTGGTTTACCCCGCAGATGGCACAGTGGGCAGAGCTGCCAGGCTGTAGCCAGGAGCTTCTGGGTCTCTCACATGACTTTAGGAGCCAAAGGCCCTGGACCATCTTCTGCTGCTTTCTCAGGTCCTTAACTGCTGGAGTCCTGCTCGAGCTGAGTTCGGAACTCAAGAAGGGTGCATGGATGAGGTGCAAAGAGGAAAGAAATGGACCACTACGATTTCATGATCATAATGGACAATGTGGGAAAGCTGTCCGCTTTCTTTATACAGAAACAGTCAAACTCTGGCTCAGACTTTTTACGTCATGGTCAAGTGGGTGTTTCTAAGGATAATTCTGCCATTTGTTTTACCTAGAAACAATAGAAGTTCCTACTACAATTCTTATTCTACAACTTAATCTTGTAACACACAAAAAAAGAGAACTTAAAGACTGAGGAAAGAATGAAAGCCTAAATGTAGGTCCCTTGATTAGCATAAGGTCAATGGGGACAGCCAAGACAGTAGGAATAATAGAAGGCCCTTTACAAGACATTATTATTGACATTAACCTCCAAGCTCACATGCCTGGGACCTGGCAGCATGTGGGGAATGCAGAGGGCATCATGGCTACTTGCTTCTGCCTGGCCCAGCCCTGGCTGCGCAGGACACACAGACAGGACCAAAGCAAGGGACGGGGGTGTTGCCCTCCTTTCAGGCAGATGAAAACCAAATGTTAGCAGGGCTCGGAGGGCTGGCTTCCGGAGAGAGCTGCCCCGTGCCGAAGCTGGAGGTGTCATGTCAGAAGCCTTTGGAGCGCAGCTGAGTGAGAATCACTGGCACACCGAGCTATCTTGATCAGTTTTAGACTTCAGGGGAGGGGCTGCACACACTGAGGCTGCCCTGGGTCTGTGGGAGGGAAGGAAGTCTGCAGGTGTGTGCTGTGTGTGGGGGGACAGGCTGCAGGTGTGTGCTGTGTGGGGGGACAGGCTGCAGGTATGTGCTGTGTGTGGGGGGACAGGCTGCAGGTGTGTGCTGTGTGTGGGGGGACAGGCTGCAGGTATGTGCTGTGTGTGGGGGCAGGCTGCAGGTGTGTGCTGTGTGGGGGACAAGCTGCAGGTGTGTGCTGTGTGGGGACAGGCTGCAGGTGTGTGCTGTGTGTGGGGGACAGGCTGCAGGTATGTGCTGTGTGTGGGGGGACAGGCTGCAGGTGTGTGCTGTGTGTGGGGGGACAGGCTGCAGGTATGTGCTGTGTGTGGGGGCAGGCTGCAGGTGTGTGCTGTGTGGGGGACAGGCTGCAGGTGTGTGCTGTGTGGGGGACAGGCTGCAGGTGTGTGCTGTGTGGGGGGACAGCCTGCAGGTGTGTGCTGTGTGTGGGGACAGCCTGCAGGTGTGTGCTGTGTGGGGGGACAGGCTGCAGGTGTGTGCTGTGTGGGACAGCCTGCAGGTGTGTGCTATGTGGGGGACAGGCTGCAGGTGTGTGCTGTGTGGGGGGACAGGCTGCAGGTGTGTGCTGTGTGGGGGGACAGGCTGCAGGTGTGTGCTGTGTGTGGGACAGGCTGCAGGTGTGTGCTGTGTGTGGGGGGACAGGCTGCAGGTGTGTGGTACATTTACCTGGGCTGATGGGGGCCACAAACCCAGACTGTACCCCTCTTTAGGACTGAGGCAAACAGCAGTGTGCCCCTTCTTCCCACTCATCTTGCACTCTGTCTGCTCCAACCCTCCTTCCTTTCTGAGCCCTAGTGAGGTCGTGGGTTGGCAAGAGCTGTGACCTGGCTTTGTGCCCATCACCAGGCATTACCAAGGTCAGGCCAAAGTTAAGTCTTCCATAGAAAAAGCTTTTGTTTATTTTCAGCTGGGGCTGGGCCAAGCCCTTCCGGGCTCCCATGCGGACAGGGGCTCAGGTCCTTGTGTCACTGCATGCTGGGTCCCAGGTGGATGTATTGGTGCCAGGTGGGCCAGGCACTCTGGGCAGGTGGCCAGCCCTTGAGGCATCTTCACAGATGCACAGACCTTCAGGATGACACCGCTGTCAGCTCCCTGGGGCACCATTCTGGCTCTGGGGCAGGGCCGGGCTCCAGGGTCAGACCGTGGTGGCTGGGTTGCCCTGGCTCCACTATAACCTCCTTGGAAGTGTCCTGAGTGGGGCCACAAGGCCACCTCCTGCAGCACCAGGCAGGGAGAGATCGGTAGACCCTCAGCACTGGCCAGTCCCGGGCAGCCTCCTGGCCCATATTTGCCCTGACAGGATGGTGAAGGCACCGTGGTGGGGACTGCGCCCTGTGGCAGGCCTGCCCTGCACAGAATGGGCCTTCTGGGGGCTACTTTTTCCGCCGGGAAGCCCGGGAGGTGCTGCAGGGGCTGGGGGCTGGAGAGGCTTGTGAGGTGTCATTGCTGTGGTTGGGGGCTGGCTTGTGCTTTTCCCTGCTGGCTGGTGGGGACGAGTGGAGTGGTGAGCCGGGCAGCAGGGCCTGCAGAGCTCTAATGGTGCCTACAGCCACAAGTAGCCCCCAGAGCAGCATGGGGGGCTCCAGGGGGCACAGCCAAGCGCGTACCCAGTGGAGGGCCTGGGCCAGGGTGCCAGAGCCGCGGGCCCGGGGTGGGCTCTTATCCTGTGGAGGACAAGAACAAAGGTCCACAGAGGCCGCCTGGCAGTGGGGGCCATCCTCTCCCCACCGACACCCTCCTACCTGAAGCCCAAACTGCTTCAGCAAGGTCTCCAGTGTCGGGTCCCCCAGGGACACGGCCGGGAAGAACTCCTCTACCCACTGGCGGCGCCACCATCGGCTGCAACAAGGCGCGTGCTCAGTGTGCCCCCGAGCCCAAGACTGACTACCCGCCTGCCCAGCAGCACCCAGCCTTACCCCTGCTCTCCAGGCTGGGAGAACCAGTACTTGTAGCGCTGGGCACGGACATAGGTGGGTGGATGCTCATGGAATGGGTAGCTGGTCACTTGGTTCTGGATCAGGCGGATCACTGTGGAGGTGGGGAGTTCAGCACCCCTTCCTGCACCTCCCCAGCCCTGTCCCCCGACCAGGCCTCACCCAGGGGCTTAGCACCCCATCCCCCCACCAGGCCTACCCAGTGGGCTCACACCCCCATCCCCCTGCCCCGCCAGGCCTCACCTGGCTCCTTCCCCTGCAGCAACCGGAGAACCAGGCTTGTGAACCAGGGGCTATGCATGTGGGGGCCCAGGGCAGCGAACCACATCTGCCAGTCCAGGCGTGGCTGGTGAGGGACCACAATGGGGGGTGGCCGGCTCATGTTCCCAGGTTTGTACATGAACTCGATTTCCTGCCCGGGGGGAGCGAGTGGGGGACAGGATCAGTTGGGCCAGCGAGATCTGGCCGAGCACCCCCACTCCTCCAGCGATGTCTGGGGCTGGCATGACCACATGAGCCCACAGGAGGCTTACCGTCCAGTGATGTCCGTCATAGCTGCCTTCCAGCACCACCTCAGGCCGCCCACCCAGACCGGTCATCCGGCGGAAGAGGCCATAAGAATTGGCCAGCTGCAAGTGTTCCACGGCTCCAAACAGGCGGTGCGTCCCCACCCAGAGGCGCCCGTGGGTCCCAGGCTCCATGTAAGAGTACGGCACCTGCACCAAGTGAGCCCAGGTCCAGGGCTGCCCTTCCAGTCCCTCCCAGCCCCCAACCCTTGGGCTGCTACCCACCAGGCTGATCAAAAACAAGGCCACTGTGGCCCCACCCCACACTGATAGCTCCACCGAGGCACAGAGCTTCCGCAGCCAGCCTTGTACCCGGGTCCACCTGTGGGCAGGAAATCTAGCTGTTGGGCTCTGACCAGGGGCCGCGCACCCACTCCGGCTCCAGCTATGTACCTCCAGAGGGCAGTCAGCAGCTCCCAGGCCAGGGAGGCCGCACCCAGCCACATGGTGGGCAGCGTCACCATCTTCAGCCACTGGGAGAACTGGTGGAAGGTGAAGGCTGTGGGAGGGAGGTGAGTGAGGCAGGGTGCCCCAGCCCTACCCACAGGCCCCGAGCCCCCCAATCCAGCACTCACTGACTCTGGAGTGGATAGCATGCTGCTGCCAGTTGACCTCTAGACCAAAGTAGTGCACGGTGCCATAGGCCAGGAGCCCGTAGACGGCCAGCTCCAGCAGCAGGGCCAGTGTGCCCAGCAGGGCCTGGATCCAGGCTGCAGGGAGGGACAGTCAGATGGGCAGGGGTTGGGATGTAGCTACAGGGAGGCGACACCACGGGGCCACAGCAGGCTGACAGCTGGTCATACTCACAGGTGGCCTTCTTGCGGTGGCCCTGCTTGGGCCTGGCTGCCAGGTGCTGGTCGTCCAGGAGCGCGCTGGTGAGCACGAGTGTCAGCAGGTTGAAGAAGTTGTAGTTGCCAGTCAGGAGGATCATGACTTGCAGCAGCACCTAGGGGCGGGGCTGCACTCAGGGAGGGTCCCTGGAGGGGACCATCTGCCACACCGCTGTATCACCGGACCCCTGGGGCTGTGCTGGTCCTGCAGCCCAGGCCCACCTGGGAGTAGAAGGCCAGCAGACGCAGGCGGCGAGTGGGTGCGAAGAACAGTGGTGGCACGGCCACCTCAATAAGGAAGGTGGCCACGGCGCTGAGCTTGTGCAGCCAGACTGGCAGGTGGTGAGCAAACCAGGCAGCTGGCGTGGGCAGGCACTGCGTCTCATAATGGTAGGTGAGGGCTGCGGGGGGTCAGGGGGTGGGCAGTCAGTCTTGGCAGGGCCCCTCAGGCCACCCCACACCCTGGCCAGGACCCTCACCGGTGAGCCCCCACCACGCCGGGCAGCGGCTGGTCAGCTTCACCACGCCAGAGGCGAACATGAGGCGAAAGAGCAGCCAGCGCACCAGCCAGAAGGGGAGGTGGTCGTGGGGCGTCTCGGGCAGGGCCTGCTTGCCGCGGCAGTGCTGCCTCAGCGGGGCCACCAGCACGGCTAAGAAGCCCGTCTCCAGCAGCAGAGAGTCCCTGTGGGGAGAGGACCCAGTGCACCCTGGGGTCTCCCAGGAGCGGCCAGCACAGCCCAACCCCCGTGCCTTGGCACGCAGCCACTCACCACTGGAAGTACAGGAACACCTGGCCCACCTGCGGGGAAAAGAGCGTGTCTGCACAGCCGGGCGAGGCCAGCAGGGCCAGCAGGGCAGCGGCTGCAGCAGCGGGGGCGGTGGGCAGCCCCACTTGCCTGGTAGGCCGACAGGTAGGCAGCCCAGAGGAGCAGGTAGACGAGGGGGTGGCGCAGCGGGCGCAGCAGCAGGGCGCCCAGGGCCAGCAGCGTGCCCAGCAGGCTGAGCAGCTCGAGGCCCTGGGCCGTGTCCAGCCCCAGCGCGGGCGCCTCCCACAGCAGCGTCGGCGTCTCCCACAGCTGCCGCCAGCGCCCTTTGCCCTGCGGCCGCAGCGTCCTCCGAGCAGGCAGGATGCCGTCGGGGCCGTAGAGGCCTGCGGGAAGGAAGGCGTCGTGTCCAGCGGCCGAGAGGCCCGCAGCCCCTCTCCTCGCTGCACAGCCCTGCGCCCCAGGCCCCGCGTCCAGGCCTGGACCCCTCCGGCCTCCGGCTGGGGAGGTGGGAGCAAAGACCGTGGGCTTCCCCGCACTCGGCGCCCTCACCCGGGACCTGCGTGTACAGAGAGGCGAAGGCGAACATGTAGATCGCGGCCACGCCCTGGAGAAAGAGCTGCCGCGGGAGCCGGGAGCCCGCCATGTCCGCGACGCGCCGGCAGAGGCGGCCCCGCGCCCCGCCCCGGCCCCGCCCCTCGGCCGTAAGCTCCGCCCCGTCGACCCGCCCCGAAAACAGCAAGCTCCGCCCCTCGGCGCCCATGTCGAGCCCCCGCCCCTCGGCCGCAAGCCCCGCCCTCGTTGGCCCCGCCCCGCTGACAGCAAGCCCAGCCCACATCGACCCGCCACGCCTACCCGCCCGCCCACGAGCCAAGCTCCGCCCCACAAATCTCAAGCCCCGCTCGCCCGCCCTGAAGGCCACGCCCTTCGGTTTCAGACGCCGCCCACACCGCCAGCCTTCCCCCGAAGCCTTGCCCCTCGGCCGCAAGTCCCGCCCATGCCGAACTCCCCGCAGTCCCCGCCCCACTCATCTGGGCCCCGCCCCTTCCCGCCCACCCGCCCGGCGTCCGGGTTGACAGCTCCCAGTACCGGCCGCTGGGCGTCACAAGTACGCGCCGTGCAGGCCGCCCGCGCCCGGAGGCCAGGGCCCGCAGTGCGTCATCGGCGCGCGCCGCCCGCGCACTCGCATTTCCCGGGCGGGAACAGCAAAATGGCGCCAGGCGCGGTGGCGGGCTGATTGGGGAGCCCGCCGTCGGAGTCCCGATCCGCGCGCTGCGGGCCGCCCGGTCTTGCCCGGACATGGAGGACGTGGAGGCGCGCTTCGCTCACCTCCTGCAGCCCATCCGCGACCTCACCAAGAACTGGGAGGTGGACGTGGCGGCCCAGCTGGGCGAGTACCTGGAGGAGGTGAGGGCGCGAGCCGGGGCGCGGCGTCCGGTCCTCGGCCTTGCTCCTCTCCGCCGCCCCGTGCCCTGTGGGCTCCGCTCGGTGACCGGCCCCAGGGCTCCGCCATGGCGTCCTGCTCCCGGCCCCCTGAGTGTCCTCGCTTGCTCCCCTGGCTCGTGTGTGTTTGCTGGAGAGGCAGGGCAGGGCGGTCGATGCAGGAGGCTGGCGACCCTCTGCTTTCCCCCTGTCCGTCCAGCTCCTTGTGCTCGTGGCTGATGGACTTTTGCCTTTTAGGGTTATTTGTTTGAAAGTCACAAAGAGGAGAGATGGCGGTACTTTCCATCCGCTGATTCCCTCCCCAGATGTCCAGGCGCACATCCGAGCTCCCAGCCATCCTTTGCTTTCCCAGGCAGCTGGCTTGGGGTGTACCCCATTGGCACAGGGACCAGCACTGGCACAGGATACGCTGTCTCAGGCGGCGGTGTAACCCACAATGCTTATGCGTGATTTTAATGTTTATTTGGTAGGGAGAGATGCCCGTTAACTGAGCCAGGGGCCAGGGGTGGGGTCAGACCCAGGCCCTGCGATGGGGGCTGTGGGCATCACTGCTGCCAGGCTGCCTTGTCATGTGGCCTGCAGCTGCCTATGTGTCTACCTTGTTGTGAGCATGGGCAGCCAGGGCTCCGTGGGGGCACTGTGGGTGCTTCTTGGGTGTCTGCGTGGGCTGTAAGAAAAGCTATGTCCCGGTGGTCCTGAGGGTGGGTAGGGGGTTAGGGAGGCCTCCCTGGACTGCTGTACAGGCCTTGCGGGGGGCATCCAGGGTCCAGCTGCACTTGTTTTGTTGGGTGCAAGTGGTGCTTGGAGGAGGCAGGTGCTGGCAGTGTCCCGAGGTCTCCGGCCATGACGTTGCCTCTACTCCTCTCAGGATGGGGCTAGCTGTGATGGGGTCGGTGTCCCTGATGGTTAGATCCCTGGAGTGTCCAGGAAGTAGGGACAGTCCCTGAGGCCTCTGTGTGCAGCCCAGGGTTCCTGAGGAGCCGCCAGGACCAAGTGAGCACCGTGGTGTTGTCTCCTGCAGCTGGACCAGATCTGCATTTCTTTTGATGAAGGCAAAACTACAATGAACTTTATCGAAGCAGCACTGCTGATCCAGGGCTCGGCTTGTGTGTACAGCAAGAAGGTGGGTCCTGTGCCTGCAGACCTGGGTGCATCATCCCTCGGCCACCACGGGCCTTACTGGCACCTCACCCGATTCCTCATACACATTAACACCAGAGAACTAACGTAGACTTAGACTGGCTAGGGGGGCAGCCTGTGCACAGCCTTCTGCTCTGCCCTGGGGGTGGTCTGTCAGAGCCATGAAGGCTCCACCTGTCAGCTGGACAGGAGGAAAGGGAAGACCAGTGTTTGGGGCTCAGCGCCAAGGGCTGTGAGGTGCGTCAGGTGCCACGCGGGTGCACGGTCTTGCCACGCCGTGTTGGGGCCTCAGCTGTGGCCATGATGAGAATGCCAGTCACCATGGGCACAGTGTGTTGGAGGTGTGCAGGGGGTGGCTGGGCAGTGGGCGCGTCGCAGGCACCCCCACCCTCCTCTCCTCACTAGGTGGAGTATCTGTACTCGCTGGTCTACCAGGCTCTCGACTTCATCTCTGGCAAGAGGTGAGTGCTGGAGGCAGGAGTGGGAGGCCCTGTCGCCTCCAGGGATGCCCACTGGGCCTTCCTCTGTCTCAGGCGAGCCAGGCAGCCGTCTTCAGGACAGGATGATGGGGCCAGTGGGGATGCCAGCTCCAGGCAACCACAGGAGGCAGAGGATAAGGTGAGCTGCTCTCTTGGGCTTGTGGCCCCTGCCCACCAACCTGTCTGAGCTCCATGCTGTGAGCACTCGCTATCTCCCCACAGTTCCTGTCGCTGGATGACTTACCCGACTCCCGGGCTAACGTGGATCTGAAGAACAACCAGGCACCCACTGTGCGTGTCCTCCCTCTGTCCTTGGGGGCTGCGGTGAGCTGGCGGGGGGACTTGCCCTCAGTGCTTATGCCTGGTCCCTGCACAGGAAGTCCTCATCGTCCCTCTCCTGCCCATGGCCCTGGTAGCTCCCGATGAGCTGGAGAAGGCTCACCACCCACTGTACAGGTACAGGCCTGCTCCTAGGGTGGGGCGGCCCACTGCTCAGCATCCCTGCAGCAGGTACTGCAGGTCGTGTTCTGTCCCCACAGTCGTCAGGGTGAGATCCTGGCCAGCCGGAAGGACTTCAGGATGAACACGTGCACCCCGCACCTGAGGGGGGCCTTCATGTTGGAGCCAGTGGGTGTGTCCTCCATGGAGCCTGGGGGCAGCCACAAGGGTGAGGGCCTGGCTGTGGGGGCCTCCCGGGAAGGAACAAGGGGTGTTGGTGTGGACTCTTGGGGGACACCTGCCTGGTGCCAGGAGCTTGTCCTCCCCTCCCCCTCGCTGCACCTCAACAGCTGCTGGCTCTCTGCTGGGCTGATCCTCACCTGTCCCTGTCCCCCAGAGGCCAGCATGGCTGAAGAACAGCCGATGGAAGTCCCGGAGTGCAGGAATCCCGTGCCAGTGCTCGGCCTCGCCCAGGAGCCAGGTGAGGGTGTTGGCTGGGGGGACCACTGGCCTCTGTGGGGGCAGCAGGAGGGCACAGCATGGAGCTGGGGGGAACCACTGGCCTCTGTAGGGGCAGCAGGAGGGTGCAGCGTGGAGCTGGGGGTGGGAACCACTGGCCTCTGTGGGGGCAGCAGGAGGGTGCAGCGTGGAGCTGGGGGGACCACCGTCCTCTGTGGAAGCAGCAGGAGGGTGCAGCGTGGAGCTGAGGAGGCCTGAATGTTTCCCACCGCCTCCCCTTTCCCCGGGGCCTTGTCCATGAGGCACCTAGGTGCCAGCTTGCTAAGACAAGGCTTGACGGTGTAGTGCCCTGCCAAATTCCCAGCTGGCAGCAGGCAGTCTCGCCTCCTAGCTTCTGTCTGTCCTCTTCCCACCCAGGCTCTCCAGAAGGCCCAGAACCCGGTGGTGGGGGTGAAGATGACGGCGTGGAGGAGGCCCTGCAGCCCCCCGAGGTTGCTGCCACTGAGGCTGCTCAGGAACCTGGGAGCCCAGAGGTGGGGTCCAGGCTCAAGCTGTGCGGTTGCCCTGGTCTCTGCTCTCCCTGTGAGGACTACCCCAGCCAGTCCTAGAGCAGCTAGCTGGGATGGTGGCTGGTCTCCAAAGGCACTCCTCAGGAGGGGCAGGCCTGGAGGCCTTCACTGCCCCTCTGTCAGCCCCCTTGCCTGCTCTGCTCCCTGGGGTTTGTGGCTGCTGCCTGTTGTGGCTGGTGGCGCACAGGGTCTGAGTTCTTAGAAGGTCCCTGTGGGCTTCTTTTTTTAAAAAAAGGGAAAAAAGTTTTTTCATCCACTGGTTCACTCTCCAGAGGATTTCAACAGCCAGATCTAGGCTGGCTGAAGCCAGGAGCCCCATGTAGGCTTTGCACAAGGGTGGAGGGAGTTGGCATTTGAGCCCTGATGCGGTGGTGGGACTTGGCGCTTGAGCCCGGATGCGTATCAGTTGGATGGCCTTGGGGGCTCTTTCATTGCAGAGTCCCACGCTGCCCAGGAGGTACTGGCTGCGTGAGCGAGTGCAGGCCCCGGAGCCCCTGTCCCAGCCAGAGGTGAGGTGGGGTCTGCCTCTCCCTTGCTCAGGAATGAGTCCTCCCACCCTGAATAACTGCTGTTGCTCTGTGTAGGTGAATCCAAACCCCTGGCAGAGCCTGGACCCCTTCGACTCCCTGGATTCCCATCCCTTCAAGAAAGGTACCTGGGTGGGGCTGGTGTCCAGCAGGGGCCCCAAGGTTGGGCAGCTGTGCCTGCTCAGTCCCATGTGCCCCCAGGTAGGCCCTACTCCGTGCCCCCCTGTGTGGAGGAAGCTCCAGGACAAAAGCGCAAGCGGAAGTGCACTGCCAAGCTGCAGGACTTCCACCAGTGGTATCTGGCCGCCTGTAAGTAGTGCGGGGAGGCGAGCGTGCCCCCAGGGGCAGGCCAGGCCGTGGGCTCCGTTCCTCCTGACTCGAGTGTCTCACAGATGCCGACCACAACACCAGTGGGAGGCCCCGGAGGAAGGGCCCCAGCTTTGCAGGTGAGACTGCGCCTCCGTGTGCACCCACACGGTGGGTGGGTTGGTCAGGCCACTCATCCACCCAGAGGGGTGTCGGGGGCCTTGGGGCCCCGGCAGGCACCCCCAACAAGATCTTTGTGCGCAGACATGGAGGTCCTGTACTGGCAGCATGTGAGGGAGCAGCTGGAGACCCTGCAGAAACTTAAGAGGAGAGAGGTGAGTGCCCTTGGCCTGGTGGGGCGTGGGCTAGGGGCTGTGCCCCTCACAGATGCTGTCCTTGGGCAGATGGCCAAGCAGTGGCTGCCAGAGGCTGAGGACGAAGAGGAGGTATGGCCTGCAGAGGAAGAGCGCCTGGAGGGCTCCCTGGAGGACCTGGGGGCAGCAGGTGGGTGCTCACAGGTGTGTGTGTGTGTTAGGGGGTGTTGTGTGTGCATTCGTGCTCAGAGCCTGCTCCCTGCTCCCAGCAGATGACCTAGAGGCCGAGGGCTGTGTGCAGCCGGAGGACACACGGCCTGGAGAAGCGTCTGGCTTGGGTAAGTCGCAGGGAGCCGCTGGTGGGAGGAAAGGCTCCCCTGCTCACAGCTCACACGTGTCCTTCTCTAGAGGCACAGACCTTGCCCACATCCCTGAGCTACGAGGAGCTGGTTCGCAAGAATGTGGTAGGTCCAAGTTGGAGGAGGCTCTGGGAGGGCACCCCTGGGCCCTGCGCACTGTGGTAGCCCCATGATCCCTCTGCAGGAGCTGTTCATTGCCAGCTCCCAGAAGTTTGTGCAGGAGACTGAGCTGAGCCAACGCGTCAGGGCCTGGGAGGACACTGTGCAGCCCCTGCTGCAGGAGCAGGTGAGGTGGGCCTCCCTGCCTGTGCTGGCCACAGCCCCTCACGCCCTTCCCCTGCAGCAGGAGGTGCTGCCCTGCCTGTGCTGGCTGCAGGCCATCTCGCCCTTCCCCTGCAGGAGGTGCTGCCCTGCCTGTGCTGGCTGCAGGCCATCTCGCCCTTCCCCTGCAGGAGGTGCTGCCCTGCCTGTGCTGGCTGCAGGCCATCACGCCCTTCCCCTGCAGCAGCAGGTGCTGCCTTGCCTGTGCTGGCTGCAGGCCATCACGCCCTTCCCCTGCAGCAGGAGGTGCTGCCTTGCCTGTGCTGGCTGCAGGCCATCACGTCCTTCCCCTTGCAGGAGCAGCACGTACCCTTTGACATTCACACCTACGGAGACCAGGTGGTGTCGCAGTTCCCCCAGCTCAACCAGTGGTGTCGCTTTGCTGAACTGGTGGCTGGCCAGCCTGCCTTCGAGGTCTGCCGTGCCATGCTGGCCTCCCTGCAGCTGGTGAGTGGCCGGGGTCTGTGGGCGGGAGGGTCGCCCACACCCCCGCTGACCCCTTGCTCCTCCAGGCCAACGACTACACGGTGGAGATCACCCAGCAGCCGGGGCTGGAGGCCGCCGTGGACACCATGTCCCTGAGGCTGCTCACGCACCAGAGGGCACACAAGCGCTTCCAGACCTACGCCGCCCCCTCCACGGCCCAGCCCTGAGGCGGACCCCCCACCCGCCAGGGACGGCTGCGGCTCCACACTCGTCAGTCCACTCTGTTTAATGGCCCCTCAGGACAGGACGCTGCGGAAGGTGGCCATGTGGCGCCGGACGCTGGCCGCGATCTGCTCGGCTGACTTGCCGCGGCCGTAGTAGTCGGTGAAGAGGCCGTCGGGGTCCAGCAGGTAGATGGCGATGGAGTGGTCCACGATGTAGTCCCCGTCGTCGTCCGGGGGCCCGGCGCTGTAGTAGACGCGGTAGCTGCGGCTCACCTCCGCCACCTGCTCGGCCGAGCCCGTGAGCCCCAGCAGCCGCGGGTGGAAGTCGCGCACGTAGCGGGCCATGGCCGGGACGTCGTCGCGCTCGGGGTCCAGGGTCACGAAGACGGGCTGCACGGGCGGCAGCCCCGGCTCGGCCTCCAGCCGCCGCACCACCTGCGCCAGCTTCTGCAGCTCGTCGGGGCAGATGTCCGGGCAGTGCGTGAAGCCGAAGTAGAGCAGCACCCACTGCCCGCGGAAGTCGGCCTTGCGCCGCGCCCGGCCGTGCTGGTCCCGCAGGCTGAAGTCCCCGCGGCCCACGGCCGCCCGGCGCAGCGCCTCGACGCGCTCCCGCTGCCGCCGCCGCTCCTTCTCGGCGCGCAGCCCGAGCCAGCCGGCGCCCAGCGCGGCGCCCAGCGCGGCCGTGGTCAGCAGCCGGGCGCGCAGCCCGGGCCCGCGGGGCCCCGGAGCGGGAGCCGGGAGCCGGGCGCGCGCGAGCAGCCGCAGCCAGGCCCGGGGCGGCATGCGGGGGGCAGCGGGGACGGGGACGCCCCGGCACGCCTCGCCCGCTTGCAATAAACCCGACTGTCCCTCACCGCGCGCCACGGAGTCCCCGCTCGCCGGCGGCCGCCATGCGCTCGGGACGCGCGGCTCGCCAGCGCGCAGGCGTCGGAGGCTGCGCGTGCGCGGCGGCGCCGGCGGTCACGTGTGCGGCGGCCCCGCCCCCGCGCGGAGTGGCGGCCTCGGGCTCGTCGATCGGACGGGAAGTCGGGGGGGACGGGGACGGGGAGGACGGGGTGGCCTGGGGGACGGGCAGGACGGGAGCCCGGGGACCGGGAGGACGGGCAGGACGGGGGGACGGGCAGCACGGGCTCCTACGGGCGGGGATCCGCGGCGGGCGGCGGCAGGACCAGCTCGGTGAAGGGCGAGGGGGCTGCGAAGGGCGCGCGGTCCGAGAGCACGAGCGCCTCCTGCAGGGCCCGGTGCTGCGCGGGGCTGAGCGCGGGCAGGTCCAGGTGCACGCGGAGCCAGGGCGTGCCTGCGGGCGGGGAGGGGTCAGTCCGGGAGGAGCGGTCAGTGAGGGAAGGGCAGGAGCTGAGAGCGAAGGCAGGGGAGGACAGGGTCAGCGGGGGACACGGGTCAGTGGGTCAGCCGGGCTGAGCCGGGCGCGCTCACCGCGGCCCAGCCGCTGTCCCACGGCGACCAGCAGCTCGGCGCCCACCCCGAGCTGGAGCGGCTGCCCGGCGCGGCTGCGTCCGGCCCCGAGCTGGTGCAGCACCCGAGCCAGCGGCAACGCCCGCACGAGCTCCACGGTGCCTGCGGAGAGAGCGCGTCAGCCGTGGGCACGGCGCGGGAGACGGGCCTGCGGGGGCGGCTCTCACCGTCTGCGGGCGCTAGCAGCTCCTCCTGGTGCCGGGCACGGGGCAGCAGCTGCCGGCGCTGCGCGGGACTCCCGGAGCACAGGGCGCGGGCCAGGCCCGGGTCCACGCCCTGCCCCGCGAGCATCCACTCGAAGCGCTCCCGGGCCGAGCCGTCGTCCAGCGCCGCGGCCACCCGTGCGGCGCCCTCATCCTGGGCCTTGGCCTGTCCGCTGAGCCAGAGCAAGGTGCCTCCTGCCCGCGGGACAGGTTTAGGCAAGGTGGGCAGAGGCCACCTGCAGCCCCGAGCCGGGTGGCCCCAGAATGTCCCCCTCACCTAGCCGGGTGGCCCCAGGATGTCCCCCTCACCTAGCCGGGTGACCAGGTCTCGCAGGTCTGGTGGCCCTGAGCCGTCCAGGCACAGCAACACCTCCTCCACCTCCAAGCTGTGGCCCACGCTGCGGCCCAAGGGGCCGTCCATGGCAGTCAGTGCCGCGGCCACCCGGAGCCCCAGGCCTGTCCCCACGCCCACCTGTGGAGACAGAGCCCCAGGGTTGGGATGGCCAAGCTCAGGAACTAGTGGAGTTGCCACAGCGTTAGGGTTGGCTCAGCCTTGGGCTGGTGTGGAGTTGGGGAGGGGAAAGTGGCCCTACCCCACCCAGGATGTCTAAGGGAGTGCCCGCAGGGTGCCCACCAGCGCTTGGGCCAGCTCCCGGGCCTGCTCCTGGCTGGGAAAGATGGCAGCTTCGCCAAACTTGACATCTATCACCAGGGCGGACAGTCCCTCCACTGCCTTCTTACTGAGGATGGAGGCTGTGCGGGAACCGTGGAGCAGGGGTCAATGGGAGGATGGGCTCCTGTGGTGGAGAGTGCTGAGGGGGCGCAGCTGCGTGGGGTGGGCGGGAGTCACCTGTGACAAGGGGCAGGCTGTCCACGGTGGCCGTCACATCTCTGACAGCATACAGGATTCCATCAGCAGGAACCAGCTCCTTACTCTGGCCCACGATGCAGCAGCCGGCTCCTTCCAGCAGACCCCGCATCTGGGCAGACCCCATCCCTGTGACCTCTGACCCGGACTTGAACTGTGGCCAACCGTCTCAAGTCCTGCCAGGGAGTGTGACCTTTGCGCTGTACGGAAGCGCAGGCACGGATACGTTAATGAGTAATGGGATTCTGACCATCAAGGCTGACCCATGCCCAGCGGTGAGCAACGCCCTGAGTCGGTCTCCTCAGAGACCCTGTTGGTGACCCATCAGCCATCTTCTGACACTGGTCAGGACTCTGCCAACAGATTGGTGGGCAAGTGGCCCAGCTGTACCTGCTCTGGGCTCTGGGTGACCCTGAATCCAGGAATCGATTCCAGCTTGTCCAAGGTGCCCCCTGTGTGTCCCAGGCCACGTCCGCTGATCATGGGCACCTGGTGGGCGGGAGCACTGAGGGCAGCTGCCCAGTTTCCCTGGCAGCTGTGCCCCTTGACCCCAATTGGCAGAGAGGGTCTGGGACACAACGTCCTGGGGGAGGGAGAAGTCCCATGGGGGGTGCATTCCGCTGAGCTTGGTCCAAAGGGCAGGACCTGGGTTCTGTAGGGCAAGCCTAGTTGGGGGTGCAGCCATAGGAGGAGGGGGCTCTAACCTTGCAGCCACAGGCAGCCAGAGCAGGTGCTAGGACCAGGCTGACCTTGTCACCCACGCCCCCTGTGGAGTGTTTGTCCACCAGCTGCTGGCGCCAGGCCTCTGGCCACTCCAGCTGCTTCCCAGACTGGGCCAGGGCCAGGGTCAGCGCCAAGGTCTCCTCCAGATCCATTCCCTGCAGTCGAATGGCCATCAGCATGGCTCCTATGTGTGGGACGTGAGATCAGCAGCAGGGGCGGCAGGCACTGGGGCCCACTCCCCTCTCTAGCGCAGGCTGCCCCTGTACCAATCTGCGCTTCCTGCACGCTCTGCTCCACCACGGCGCGCACGAAGCCCTTGATGTCAGCCTCGCTCAGGCGGCCGCCGTCTCGCTTCCTGCGGATCAGCTCCGGGAGCTGCAGTTGTTGGGGCGCTAATTCCGGAACCCCCTGGTTCTCTCCCCGAGTGAGGTCCTTGGGTGTGGTCATTGCTCCGGACCTACCGGGATGCGGTGTGTGCCTGGATGCCTCCACCTGGGGCCCTCGTCCTTGCGCGCGAGCCCGTGCCACCCGCCTCCCAAGTATTGTTGCGTCCAAGGTCGCGGCGCTCTGTCCGCACCCCTCACTTCCCTCTCGGTATGGCGACCCGGCCCTACCTATGCGGTACAGCGACCCTCCCTGTCCCCGTTGTCGCGGCCGCAGCCGGGTTCCGCCCTGCCTTGCCGCGGCGTTGTCCGAAGCCCGCAGCGGCAGGTGGACCTGTACAGTTACCAGGGGCGCGACGGGCGGGACCCGCGGCGACCCGACCAATCCTCGTAGGAGCCGCGGGTTTCCGGGACTCAGAGGGCACTGGTGGGTCGTGCCACTTCCTTTTTCTCCGTGCCAGCGTAGCACGGACAGATACGGAAGAGGACGCGCGGGTGTGCCCAAGCTTTATTGAATAGTCGGGGTTGGTCAGTTGTCCATTTTTGCCAGGGTCGAGGCCAGGTAGTCCGAATGCCGGATCCCGAAGCTCCAGCCGCGAGGTTTCCGAGGCTGTGGGCAGGAGATGCCGCTGACGCGCAGACTTTGCCACCGGGGCCGCGCGCAGGGGCGAGGACCCGCCCCCTCCGCCCCTTGGCACGGAGCCCCAGGCCACCTGGTCCACGTTGTAGGCTGCGGGCCCAGGGTTCTGCGTACTGTCTTGGGGGGCAGATGTGCGGGCCAGCATGGAGAACTGTGGAGCCCTGGCCTTGTAGACGCCGGGATTCACCACGTGGTAGGCACAGGGGCCGGGGGTCTGCGGGACAGCGGGCCGGGGTCAGGCCGGTTCACCTGCTGACCCGGTCTCTGTCTGTGCCCTGGACCCTGGCCCACCTTGCTAAGGTCCTCGAAGCAGCTGCCCACCGCGCTGCGCCCGTAGATGGAATATGTAGGAGCTGACACCTTGCCGATCACGCGGGGGCCCAGGAGCGAGGGCACAGAGTAGGCGCCCGGGCCTGCGTGGAGCCGGCTATCAGTCAGCGAGGCCTGTGGACAGGCCCGGGGCCTCCCCCAGGGGTGGCCGAGGAGGCTTACCTGGGGTCTGCTGCTCCAAGCAGACACCCCAGTTCCGGGGGGCGATGGTGTGTCGGGGCGCACAGGGGTAGGTCGCATTCCCTGCACGTTCCGGGAAGTACTTGCCTGCGAGTCAGGCGGAGGGCGTTGGGGAGGGGGATGTTTGTTGAAATATCCCTAGGGGCTCGGATGGGCGGGACCAGGGCCTCTGGGGTCCTGACCGGGTCCTGGCGTGACGAAGGGAGCCGAGTCCCGCGGGCGGCCCAGGATGGAGTAGGCGGGGGCACAGTCCAGGCCACGCGCGGTCATGTGAGCCGGCACAAGGTGGCCGGGACCCGGGCCGCAGGTGGGTCGTTGTGTGGGCAGCCGCGCGCCGAAGGTGAAGGCTGGAGCTCGAGGCCGCGACGGGTCGTGCAGGAGATAGCCTGCGAGGTTGTGGTGTCAGCTGCCTGTCCTTCCGCAGCCCCGGCCTTCCGGCCCGCCCTCAGACCCCCGCCCCTCTACCGGTGTTGGGCGGCAGCTGGTATTTGGGCCCGGGGCCGCTGTATAGCGCCGCGATGGGGCCACGAGGCCGGTGGGGTCTCCAAGGCCCGACCCAGACGTCCGAGCCCATTGCGCGGCGGGGGCGCGCAGGGCCCGCAGCACCTGCGGACAGAAGGTGGCGGCCGCAGCCCCTCCACCCAGAGCTCGCGGGGAGCGCCCTGGCCCGGCTCCCCTGGGGGCAGGCACCGCCAAGGCGGCGACGCCCCTGCCCTGTGGGGCCATTCCCGCCCGCTCCCTTCTCCCCGCGTGTGCGGGATCAGCCTCGGACTTGGGGAAGGGATCCCCAGGGTTAGGGTGTTGGGAGAGGCGGAGTGCACTGACCTGCGTGGTGGCTCCTGCCTGGGGACCGACACAGAAGCGCTGCCGGCACAGGCTCCTGAGTCCCGGGCCCATTGTGTGTCTGCTTGCTCCCTGGCAACCACCAGGCTGCCCCACACCCTGGTCCCTCCGCCAGCGGGGCGCGCACAGGCTCCTGGGGCGCCATGTCCTGGCTCTGGACCAGCAAATCCACACTGAAAGGAATGTCCACGTGCTTCAAGGACATCTGCTAGGCCGGGGGTCTGGTCCAGGTACTGGCTGAGGAGGTCACAGCTGGAAAGGGGTCCCTGCTGAACCCCACAATCATGGGTTTCTTTTTCCCAGAGACCTGGCCAGTGTCGGAACACTGGTTCGGGCCCACAACAGCACCTCTAGGTCTGGCTCCCTGTCCAGGACTGCCCACCTCCAGACTGCAGGAAGCTCCTAACTTTGTGTTGGCTCAGTTCTAACCATCGCAGCCATTTGGGGAATGAACCAGCAGGTGGAAGACCCCTCTGTCTGTTACTAGCTTTCAAGTAAAAATAAATCTATTTTTTTTTTTTAAAAAAGCAGTGCAAAGGATACATACAGCAGCTAGTTGCAGAAAGACACATGAGGAGGTGAGAGGACAGAGGGGAAGAGTGAAAGACCACAGAACTAAGAGCAGTGTAGTGGTGCAGTGGGTGAGGCCGCTGTGGGGGTGACTGCTCCCTGTATCTTAGTGTGGAGCTGGGGTGCGAGGCTGGGTGCGGGGACTGACTCGTAGCAGCAGTAGTGTTAAAAGGTTATCAGGGATAAAAGGTTAGCAGTGTCTAGAGGTAAGATTAGTCACGCATATAATAGTAGTGCTGAGCAGTGTTAGGGCAGCTTTTCAATTGTTAGCATAACCGCTATATTTGGCTTCTGTAATCACTGGTTGGCTTTGCTGCACAAAGAACAAGACCAATACCATGATAGGTCTTAGGTGGGAGAATAGGCCTCAGTTTCATTTCACTCCAAAGCTTCATTTCCCCAGAGTGACAGAGCGGGCAGTGGAGAACCACCTTAGGGGACTGGGCCAATCATGGGCATGGGCACGTTGCTAGGTGACATGGGTCTGCACTGGTGACTAAGAGGGAATAACTGCCGCTGGAGACGCCTTGTCCGTGACCAGGAGGGAATAAAAACGCTCTGCAAGAGACAGGCGAGGTCCTTGCCAAGACTCCACTGTGTTGGAGCCCTAGCTCAAGCTAGCAGTAAAGTTTCTTTGCTTTTGCATTGTTGTGTGTGGAACCCCTGTCTGCAGTCCAGGGATTTTTTTTTTTTTTGGACCGAATAGAAGGACCTGGAATCAAGCACATCCTTATTGCTTCTGGCGCGGCTCACTGCCTCCTGGCTCCAGCAGGTCTAGCTCCTGGCTCCAGCACAGGTCCAGCTCCTGGCTCCAGCACAGGTCCAGCTCCTGGCTCCAGCAGGTCTAGCTCCTGGCTCCAGCACAGGTCCACCTCCTGGCTCCAGCAGGCCCAGCCCTGGCTGTTTACGGCATTTGTAGAGGGGATTACTGGATTCTATTTTTCAAATAAGAAGAAAGGAAGTCCCTTCTGCTGTTCTGGCATGCTCAACAAAGGCAGTAAACCCTTAGAAGGTCATCAGAAGCAATGGGAAGAATAACTTCCCAGTGAGCCCCTCCTTTGCCCCCCATCTCCCAGCCAGAGCAGTCGTGGCTGAGCACTCCTGTAGCTGGGCACCTCTGCCCTGGGCCTCCTGGCTGCCTCTGGCTGCCACCCTGCCGCCAGTGCCTCATGCGCAGAGCAGGAGCGAGCCTTGTATAAAGTCCTGCTAGCTTCCATGTCAGGACCCAGGAGCCCCAGGACGCCCAGCTGACAGCTGTGGAGTCTGCACTTGCCAGAGTCCAGCTCCAGCCGAGTTTGGAACTCAAGAAGGGTGCATGGAGTAGGCGTAGAGAAAATAAACAGACCACTACAATTTCAGGGTCGTAATGGACACTGCAAGGAAGCTGTCCCCTTATTTATACAGAAACAGTCACAAGCTCTGGCACAGACTTTACATCATGGTCAAGTGGGTGTTCCCAAGGATAATTTTGCCAATTGTCTCACCTTGAGGCAGGATACCAGCCGTCCTAATCCTGTGGTCAGGAAGTTCTCAATAGACGGCACGAATCAATCAGTAACACATCCCGCTACAATCCTCATTCTACAACTTAGTCTTGGATCAGTTAAGGGAGGAAGTGCATCACAGAAGGAGGGACCTAAAGATCAAGGAAAGAGGGAAAGAAGATTCCCACTGCACTGCACCTGGGGACGGAATACCCTTGATTAGCATATGGTCAATGGGGGAGGGAAACCCCAAGCAGAGGTTCCTGCTACACCCTTGATTAGTACATGGTCAATGGGGGAGGGAAACCCCAAGCAGAGGTTCCTGCCACACCCTTGATTAGTACATGGTCAATGGGGGAGGGAAACCCCAAGCAGAGGTTCCTGCCACACCCTTGATTAGTACATGGTCAATGGGGGAGGGAAACCCCAAGCAGAGGTTCCTGCTACACCCTTGATTAGTACATGGTCAATGGGGGCAGCTGAGACAGCACGAATAGTAAAAGGCCCTTTTGCTATGATGTTATCAGCAACATCAACTTTCAAGCTCACACTGATAGTAAAGACCAACTCTACAGAGGTAGACAGTGCCTAAATAGGTCACAGAATTCTCAGCGGGGCAGTCTGGCGTCCATGCAAGGGAAGTGGAACTGCCTTCAGGTGGATGCAGAAACATTACTGGGCCATGCCGTGCAGTGGGAAATTCCTTACGGCCCTGCCTGCAATGGAACAGCTCTCTCCACACCCACCACATGGACCCCGGCATGCACTGCCTGGGTGGGTGGGGCCATGCTGAGCAACTGTGGTGAGTAGGAGAACTGAAAACTGCTTGCTGTGGAGAAATCTCACGTGTTTGTTGTCAAAGGTGTGCAGCAGGTGGAAGGGCTCTGTCTGTACATCTGCCTTTCAAAAAAAAAAGTTTAAAACACATTGAGTGAATGCAGAAAACAGTTTATCTTTGTTCCTTTCTCTTTCTTCCACTCTTTTTTTTTAAGTTAATGTTTTTAAAAAAGATTTATTTATTTTTATAACAAAGTCAGATATACAGAGAGGAGAGAGAGAGAGGAAGATCTTCCGTCTAATGATTCATTCCCCAAGTGACCGCAACGGCCAGTGCTGTACCAATCCGAAGCCGGGAACCAGGAACCTCTTCTGGGTCTCCCACATGGGTGCAGGGTCCCAAAGCTTTGGGCCGTCCTCAACTGCCTTCCCAGGCCGCAAGCAGGAAGCTGGATGGGAAGTGGAGCTTCTGGGATTAGACCCAACACCCATATGGGATCCCGGCGTGTTCAAGGTGAGGACTTTAGCTGCTAGGCCACGGCACTGGGCCCTCTCTTCCACTCTTGAAATGCCTGCAACAGCTGGGGCTGGGCCGGTCCAAAAAACGAGCCAGGAGCTTTGTCTGGGCTTCTCACGTGGGTGTGGGAGCACACCTGGCCTGTCCTCGCTGCGTTCTTGGGTCCATTAGCAGGGAGCCAGATCGGAGGTGGAGAAGCTGGGACTTGAACCTGCACTTTAGTGTGAGATGCTGTCAGGCTGCAGCCTACCCTGATGTGCCAAAATATGGGCCCCCAAGAGGCCCTTAGGAGGGAGAGGGCACTGCCCGATCTGCTTCTCATTCCCTGCACGTCACAGCACCCAGAGCTGCATTGCCTGTCATGTGTAATCGCAGCATACACGTGCACGCAGATGCACTTACACATGGACACATGGACAGCTGCAGGACATGTGCAGACGCACACATGCAGGTGCAGTTGAACATGCAGGTATAGACACACACACAGGTATAATCGCACACACACAGGTGCACATGAACATGCAGGTATAGACACACAGGTGTAATCGCACACACAGGTGCACTTCAACATGCAGGTGTAGTTGCACACAACGTGTGCACAGTCGTATACGCTCACAGCTACACTTGTCAGGATCATCCCTCTGAAATGAGATCTACTTCTGATGACGACAGCCTCCACCTGCCAGCTGCTGGGCCGCATAAGTGAACTGACTCCATCTCGCATCCTTGTGTTGGGGTCTGAGGTGAGCAACACCCTCCAGGCTGTGGTGAGGTCATCGTCATGTCTCCATCGAATGATTGCACCAAAAAATAAGCATGAGCCCTTGACGAGCTGTCAGGGACAGGAGCACCCTGCTGCCCTCAAGCTGAGTCCCCAGCGTAGAGCCCCAGGACAGAGAACAGGAGTAGGATGTCAGGGATCCTGTGGGTTGCAGACCTGGAACAACAGTCCACTGGCAGCAAGACCGCAAAATGCCAGGGCAGGCACATCCTGGGGCAGCTATGAAGTGGCCCTTGGCAACCCAAGCCCTGGTTCACAATGAGCTGACCTTGTATGTGCCAGGGCTACTTGCTGCCTGCATATAGAGGCCCTCAGGGTGGGCTATGCCCTCTGCAAGGTGGGGAGGGAGCTGGCCAGAAAAGGTTGAGCTGGGGTGGGCTGGCAGCCCTGAAAGGCTGAGCCAGCCCAAGATGCTGCATGAGATCTCAGCATTCCTGGTGTAAGGAATTACAAGGTGCAACACACAGACACCCCAAAACACCCCAAGGTGAAGGGATGGAAAGGAGATTCTTAACCTCAAAGAGGAATCAGGACAGCAGCAAGAAGCCTCCAGTACTAGGGAAGAGAGTGTGGAACTGCAGGGGTGCAGCCAGGACATGCTGAAAGCCGGTACTGAGGGACAGAGCACAGAGCTGCAGGGCTGCGGCCAGGACACGCTGAAGGCCAATACTGAGGGACAGAGCACGGAGCTGCAGGACTGCGGCCAGGACACGCTGAAGGCCAATACTGGGGGACAGAGCACGGAGCTGCAGGACTGCGGCCAGGACACGCTGAAGGTCAGATGGTTAGAGGCAGCAGGGAGCCCGAGAGTAGAGGGTCCGTGAGTAACAGACACTGGGAGACAGAAAGTTGTTCATTCAGGGAATGGGTCAGGAGTTCCAGTGAGGAAAATAGAAAGACACGACACCAGCACAAGGTGAGAGGATGGCACACCTCCACACCTCACCTGTGCCCTCACCTGTGCACACACCTCCACACCTCACCTGTGCATACACTGTGTCCTCACTATGTCTATCCCTCTGTGTCCCCTCACAGCCCTCCAATCTCTTGTGCTTTGTGCACTCTCTTTCATCGCAGGAATCGACACTGGGGGTGCTGTCCTGTCTGTAGGGAGATGTTTAACCCAACTTACTGGCCTGTGTGAGACTCTAGAGCAGCTTATGCTGTGCTCAGGGTGCTTCTGGGGTGCCCTAGTGTCAGCTTTTGATCCCTGATTTTTGCAAGAGGTCAGGTGGGAACTCACCACCAGAGGGCGCCCTGCCACGTTGCAACACCTGGCCGGTCTAAGCCCAGGACCGTGTGGTGTCCCCTTGCCCAAAGAGATGAACTAATCCCTTTCAATTTATTATCTCTCATTTACCCCGAAATTTATTTGAAAGAGTTAGAGCACGCCTTCCACTGTTGGTTTTCTCCCCAGGTGGCCACAGTGGCCGGGGCTGTACCTGGGACCAGATCAGAATGGTGGGAAAGTTTTTCTCCTGCCACGCTGGGACTCAGCACCCGACTCCGGGCCGTGGCATCTGTAGGCATCCCACCCTCTTGTCCTCTGGCTGGCACTGGGGAGCCAGCTAAGTTGGGGGGGCAATGGCTGGTGGAGCACTACTAGCTGGGGCACTTACTGAGGTGCAGGTTGGGGGGTCAGTGCTCTTCCCAAAGGCCTTTGGGCCCCAAATTTAATCAAGATGCAGAGCCTGAGACTGGAACACAGAAAGAGGCACGAAAGCCCCTTCTCCAGTTAGAAGTCCCCTTGAGGCCCAGTTCCTCCTGTAACCTCTCTGTTACCTGATAGTCCTGGGTGAAGCTGGAAGGGGAACAGATCAGGTGATACATGAGCCTGGCACAGCACAGGCTGAGTGCCAGGGACACGGCCTGGCTGTCCCCAGTGTCCTGGACCCCAGAGGGAGGACACAGCCCCCCATTTCCTAGTGGTCCTGTCTTGGGTCTGGGACTCCACATTCTTGCTCATACCTGGGTCCCATCTGACACCTGTCCTGAGGGGAGCTATAGGAAAATGCCAGGGGGAGAGGACAAAGCCCTCCTTAAGAGTCTACAGTGGCAACCTCCACAGGCACCCAAGTGGTCTCCAGGGCCAGACGCAGGGGCTGGGAGTGGGACTGGGGCTAAAGGGGCTGAGGGGGACTGGGACTGGGGCTAAAGGGGGCTGAGGGGGGCTGGGGCTGAGGGGAGATGAGGGGGGCTGGCCAAGTGGGGCTGGGACAGGAGCTCAGGGGAGGCTGGGGCTGAAAGGGGCGGGGCTGAGTCCTAGGTACAGACTGTTGAGGAAGTTGCTGAGGATGGCAGAGGCATAGGGGTGAAAGACTCCATTCCTGGAGGTTCCAACCACTGGGAACTTGGAGTTGGGTGGGGTAAGACTGAGATGCGACTTTGAGTTTGTTCATTTTCCCTCTTGGCTTGAAAACTGTCCCTTTGGGCCCAGCATGGTAGTGCCTAGCAGCTGAAGTCTCCGCCTTGAACACACTGGGATCTCATACGGGTGTTGGTTCTAATCCCAGAAGCCCCACTTCCCAACCAGTTCCCTGCTTGTGGCCTGGGAAGGCAGTCGAGGATGGCCCAGAGCCTTGGGACCCTGCACCCGTGGAGGATACCCGGAGGAGGTTCCTGACTCCTGGCTTCGGATCAGCTCAGCTCTGGCCATTGTTGTCACTTGGGGATGGAAGATCTTTCTCTCTGTCTCTCTTCTCTGTGTATCTATCTTTCCAATACAAATAAATAAATCTTTAAAGAAAAAAAAAAAAACTGTCCCCTTCAGGGAGCAAACTCAAGATTAGCAAAGTGCAGATGAGGCTGCTGGCAGGCTATGGGGCCTGTCTCCCAGGTCCTGGGTGAGGCACACCTCACACACACCTGGAACCTTTCCTTACTGCGGGGCCTCCTCTCTGCTTAGATCACCTTGGCTGTGTCCCCTGGGTCCCCACTGGCCCACCTGCCCCCAGCCAAGAGCGCTCAGGTTTCTGGTAATCCATCAGGGTTGCTTCATGTTGCTGAAGCAGGCGATAGCATCTCCCAGGTAACCCTTCCCTGCCGAGCCCCGGCCTGGACCCAAGCTAGAGGAAGGACACGCCCCTCTCCCCGCCGGATTTGGGGGTGAGACTGTGCCAGGTGGCCAAAACACCTCTGGTGACGCGGGACCTGCTGCTGTGGACTGGAGAAGACCCCAACCCTCTAAGGCTTTGGAGAACAGGGCCACCCTGAGGGGGCAGCAGAGCAGGGAGCCCTGACAGCCTAGTGCCATGAGCCAGGGCACACTGGAGGCTGGCGGCCCCCTCTGGGGCTGGGACTGGGACGCTGAGGATGACTGGGAAGGGGCCGTGCTGGCTGTGCTGGCCCTGGCCGTGGTCGCCGCCACTGCCCTGGCTTTGCACTGGTTTGGCCCGCAGGATCAGCAGGCAGCAAGACCAACGCCCCAGGCAGCGGGAGTCGGGCCGGCTCTACACCTCAAAGCCCAGGTCAGTGGTGGCCATGCAGCTCGGAGCCCAGAGCAGGGGAAGTCAGGCCCACTAACATGCAGCCAGGGCAGTCCGACTGCAACGACCCGAGTTCAGGGCTGCGAACCCCGGGGAGGTGAGGTGCTGCACCCTCAGGCCAGGCTCTGCAAAGGGGCCTTGGGCCTGCAGCAGAGCCCAGCCAAGGAGCCCCCCAGACCAGGCGCCGATCACCCGAGCAGGGACTCGGCAGCTGGCCTGCCGGCCCCGGTTGTGATACACTTCACTCTTCGTGAAGTGGAGGCGCAGCTGGAGGCGGGAGGAGGCCGCGAAGGCCTGGAGCAGCGGGGGAGAGTTCGCAGTCGGAGGCGGCAAGTGGACGCCGGCTCCGGAGACAGAACCCGCCGCCGACCGAAGCCAGATCCGCTCTGCATGGGCGCGGTGCCCAGCGTGTGGGATGAGGTGGAGAAGGCGGCCTCTGCAGGCCTAGACGCTGCCCCCCGGGAGCTGTCCCAGGGCCGTGCCCCTAACTTGGGGGCAGGTGAGCTCGGGGGTTCTGGGGAAACCTGGCCCTGGACGCCGCATGCGGTTCCTGGTGGCAGCGGCGGCAGCCCGGCCGTGAGCTCCTTGGAAGGGCCACCCCGAGACCACCTGCCCTCACCCCAACAGCTGGACAAGGCCCAGATTAAGGCTTTGGGAAGCGCACACCCCATGCTGGGGCCGGCGCCTGTAGGCACAGAAAAACCTGCGGTGTCCAGACAAGGCCGAGGCACACAGGAGGGCCAAGCTCCCGAGCGAGATGCAGGGGAATCCGTTTCCAGCTGCACCCAGTCTCTGCAGCGTGGCTCCAAGGCCCGCCGGCGCCCGCGCCTCCTGCCTGCAGCCAGCACCCCCTCTCCAAGCCCTTTGCCACAGGGAGTCAGCCAGGGTTCCGATGGGGGTTATCTCCAGCCAGCACCAGCTCCAGGTTCAGCCTCAGCTCCAGCAGCACTCCAAAAAACCCTCACCTCCAGCCCATCCCCAACCCCAGCCTCACCCCCAGCCCCAGCCTCAACTGCAACCCCAGCCCCAGTTTCAACTACGACTCCAGCCTCACCTCTAACTCCAGCCTCACCTACAGTCTCAACTGCAACCCCAGTCTCTCCTCTAACCCCAGCCCCAGCCTCAGCTGCGACCCCAGCCTTACCCACAGTCTCAACTGCAACCCCAGCCTCTCCTCTAACCCCAGCCTCACCCCCAGCTTCTCCTCTAGCCCCAGCCTCACCCCCAGCTTCAACTATGACTCCAGCCTCACTTCTAACCCCAGCTTGCCCTGCCCCAGCCCCTGTCAGCAGACCCAGGCCCGTGCCCCAGGAGGCCCGTGTGGCTCTGCAAAAGGGCTCCCAGGAGAGACAGGTCTTAGCCAGCTGGGGGACCCTCATAGCCATGGTCCTCAGAAGCCACCCCTTCCCTAGGCAAGAGAAGCTCCCAGGAAGGGATTCAAGGTCAGCACCTGTCAGAGTCTCTGCATCTTCTGAGGACAGCCAGCTGGCTTGCTCTACTCAGCGGGCTGTGCTTACACTAGGGCCAGGGATGGTCACAGAGGCCGGCAAGGGGGGCCCGGCAGGAGCTACAGGTGAGCCACAGCCAGGAAGCTTCGAGACTAATAGGGCCTCCACCCCCCGCCAAGATGTCCCTGCAGAGAAAAGTCCAGACTCACAGCCTCCAGCAGTGCTGCCCAGGGCGCCCTCCCAGCCTGGCCCTGCCCTAGGGTCCCAGCCAGTGTCCCAGCCTGGCACACACAGCCTCTGTGAACTCACCCAGAGCTGTGAGCAGGAGACGGTGGGGCAAGGGACTTCGGGGCTGTCCCCGGGGCAGGCAACAAAGGAGGAGGCCCTCACGCAGAAGCAGAGAGAGGCCCGCAAGCTCCTGGCCTTTCTGCAGAGGCCTGGCAGCTGGGGAGTGGCAGAGGGGGTCCGTGGCCCCTGTACCCTGGAGCCAGCCAGGGCAGCGGCTCTGCGGCGGCGGCTGGACCTGGGCAACTGCCTGGATGTGTTGGCCTTGGCCCAGCAGCGCGGGGACGCCAGCCTGGCCCGGGAGACCTATGCCGTTATGAGCAACAACCTGCTGCACGTGCTGGGAGATGCACAGCTGTACCGGCAGCTGAGCGGGGCTGACCGCCAGCGCATCCTGAACCTGCGTACTGGTCGGGGTCGGACTGTGCTGGGCGTCCTGGTGCTGCCCAGCCTCTACCCAGTGAGCCGCCTCGGCTCTGGCGCTGAAGAGCCTGCCCCGGCTGGGTCCACTCAGCTGCACGTGTTCAGCCCCCAGGAGAACTCGTGGTGGCCGCTGACCCGGGTGCCCGATGAAGCCCCGCTGCGGGGCTGTGGCCTTTGCACCATGCATAACTACCTGTTCCTGGCGGGCGGCATCCGCGGCTCAGGCGCCGAAGCTGTCTGCTCCAACCAGGTCTTCTGTTACAACCCGCTGACCGACATCTGGAGCCAAGTCCGACCCATGCGACAGGCCCGGGCGCAGCTCAAGTTGGTGGCCGTTGACGGGCTGCTCTACGCCATTGGGGGTGAATGTCTGTACAGCATGGAGTGCTATGACCCACGCACAGATGCCTGGACCCCACGGGCCCCCCTCCCCGCGGGCACCTTCCCCGTGGCCCATGAGGCGGTAGCCTGTCGAGGGGACATCTATGTCACGGGGGGACACCTCTTCTACCGCTTGCTGCGATACAGCCCAAGGAAGGACTCGTGGGATGAGTGCCCCTACAGTGCCAGCCACCGGCGCTCCAGTGACATGGTGGCACTTGGGGGTTTCCTTTACCGCTTCGACTTGTTGCGGGGCGTGGGCGCAGCGGTGATGCGCTACAACACTGTGACTGGCTCCTGGAGCCGGGCAGCCTCCCTGCCCCTGCCGGACCCTGCCCCGCTGCGCTGTGCTGTGCTGGGCAACACCATCTACTGCCTCAACCACCAGGTCACGGCCACCTTCACGGTCTCCGAGGGCACGGCCCAGTTCCAGGCTCAGGAGTTGCAGCCCTTCCCCCTGGGGAGCAAGGGGACCCTCAGCCCCTTCTTGCTGACCCTGCCCTCCAAGGACCCTCTGCAGACTTCCCTCTGAGACCTCCCAGCTGCGGGAAGGCCTGAGGAGCAGCCGGGATTAGACTTTGCCCCTCCTCTGTGTAGGGAGCACTTGTTTCCCTAGCGTCAAGGACGAGGAGGTGGCTCACGGAGGAGCCTGGCTCCTGTCAAGGGAAAGAAGGAAGCTCGGAAAGTGCCCTCACCCAGAGTCTACCCAGACCTGCTGGCACTGGACTCCCCAAGCCTGTGAGGCTGGTCCTGCCATCAATAGCTCCTGCCCACGGCCCCAATTGGGCTCTTGCCCAGCCTGGCCTCCCTGACCTCCGGCCTGCATTACAGCGGAGTGTTACCAGGGTCCTGCCCTCACAAGCTGTGTGAATTTCAATGAGACCCTCAACTTCCCTTGCTCCTCGTCTACAGTGGGGTAAGGGGAAAGCAAGTTCGTAACTCGGGCCCCCAGCCATATCAGGACACTGAGCTCGAGTCCAGCTTGTGTTCACCTGTGTCAGGGAGCAACTACATCTAATGGAACACTGCTGCCTGTCCAGCTGGCAGCCTCACCCTCCCAGGCTGGGAACTCGGCTGTTTCTGAACTGCTGGCCCACACAGCTGCACCAAATACAAGCGTGACTGATGCAAAGCGTCTGTGTCCGACTGCTGTTTTGTTTACAAGGCTGACACTCGGGGACAGGGAGGTTCTGGGGCGAGGCTTGAAAACAGGTTTAATGGGAGGGAAGTGGTGTGGCCCAAAGACATGTCTGGATGGCAGGGGCACAGGAGGCATCACTGCTTGCGCTTGGTCTCATTCAGCATCTCTTGCCAGTTCTTCTCCATCTCCTCCTTGCAGTTGAGGAAGGCGTCCTCCAGTCGGCGCATGGAGTCAGCCAGTGTAGGGTTGGTCCTCATCACCACCATATCATAGGCCATCCAGGTCGCCTGCACTACAAGAAGCACACAGGCCGGTCAGGTCAGTAGAAGGGGCGGGGACCCCCATGCCTGGCAGTCAGGGTCATGCCTCACAGGGACACACAGGACTCTGAGGACATGTGTGTGGGCTCCATGCTAGACTCCTCCTATGGTGGGTGTTGGAGTCTCAAGCCTGAATTTGACACCTGATTCTGGCTCCTGCTAAAACAGACTCTGCAAGGCAGCAGGCGAAGGCTCAAGGGCTGGGGTTCCTGCACCCACAGAAGAGATGTGGATCAAGTTAGTGCCCAGCCCTGGCCCATGGCCCATGGCCCATGGCCAGGGGAGCAGCTGCCGAGTGAACCAGCAGACAGAGGGCCCCCTCCTCCGGTCAGTCGGCCTTTCAAATACAGAAATCAATCTGTGTGTATGTTTCCATCTTCTCAGTGTGTAAGTCACGTGAACAGAATGTCAGTAGGCAGTACAGTGAGGGGGACTCAGTGGACATTGGAGACCAGGCCATCCTGGCCACATGGTGCCAAGCCCCTGGCTGCAATGAGCTTGTGTTGTGGCGGGACATGCGGAGGATAAAATGGGAGATGGTGCTGCCTGACAGCAACCAACTCGGAAGTACAAATAAGTCAAAACGTGGGGCATGGAATCTGCTTGCATAGTCCCACACATAGCTGGCATCCATTCCTTCATTCACAGTGAGCGGCCACAAAATGAAAGCCTGTGATTTAAAACATCTGCATCTTTGGACAGGGACTTTAGCTGCTAGGCTACCATGCTGGGCCCTAAAGCTAACTTTCTTTTTTTATTTTTTTTTTATTCATTTTATTGGAAAGGCAGATGTACAGAGAGGAAGATCTTCCATCTGATGACTCACTCCCCAAGTGGCCGCAACGGCCGGTGCTGCACCGATTCAAAGCCAGGAGCCAAGAGCTTCTTTCCAGGTCTCCCACATGGGTGCAGGGTCCCAAGGCTCTGGGCCATCCTTGACTGCTTTCCCAGGCCATAAGCAGGGAGCTGGAGGGGAAGTGGAGTCGCCAGGATTAGAACCAGCGCCCATATGGGATCCTGGCTCATTTAAGGCAAGGCCCTTAACCATTACACTATTGCGGCAGGCCCAAAGCCTAACTTTAAAAAATCTCCCCTCCATGCAATTGTCATTTCCATTTACACATGAACAGACCTGGAGTGACATCTACCAGTCCAAAAGAGCTTAATTCCAGGAGGCTAGATTTTGACGATTTTAACCTCTCTATGCTTTCCTCTTTTGATTAAGTTTTACTTTAATTGCATGATGGAATACAGCATGTGTTTCAAGGGATGGTAAAAGGTAAGAATACTTTATTTTTCCATTTTTAAAGATTTATTTATTTTTATTTGAAAGGTAGATTTCAGAGAGAGAAGGACAGAGGGAGGTCTCCATCTGCTGGTTCACTGCCCAAATGGCCACAATGCCAGAGCAGAGCTTATTTGAAGCCAGGAGCCAGGAGCTTCTTCCGGGTCTCCCACGTGGGTGCAGGGTCTCAGGGCTTTGGGCTGTCCTTGACTGATTTCCTGGTCACAAGCAGGAAGCTGGATGGGAAGTGGAGCAGCCAGGACATGAACCAATGCCCATGTGGGTTGATGCTAGCACCACAGGTTGCTACTGTGCCAACCCCCTAATTATTTGTTTTAAATGTTAATGACCACTCATGGAAAATGTCACTGCATGCAGCATGCTAACATATTACAAAACAGAGAGACGGGCATCATGGCACAACAGGTGAAGACGCTGCCTAGGGTGCCTGCTTCTCATGCTGTAGTGTCAGACTGAGCTCCACCTCTGCTTGCTGCCCTAACTCTCAGACACATCTGCACGCGGCAGGCAACAGCTCCACACGTGGGAGGCCCGGATGGCGCTCCTGACCGCTGCCTTCGGCTTGGGCCAGCCCTGGCTGCTGCTGACTTCTGGGCAGTGAATCAGTGGGTGGATCGATCTATCTACCCCTCTCTTTCTCTCTATCTCTCTCTGTCATTCTGCCTTTAAATAAATAAATCTTTAAAAATAGAGAATATTGATAAAGTGATTTGTGAAGAAATCTGAAATGTTCAAACTAACACAATTTCAACAAAGCAAAAACCAGAGAAGAAAACTGAAAATTTTATAACAAATTATTTCCTTCCCAGCTGTAGGCAACTGCCTAGGTTGCTTTGCATCTAGACCAATATTACATGCTGGGAGAAAAGCAGCCAGTGGCTGGAGGGCATTCTGGGTCTGGTTAATACCAACCCTGTGTTACTATACCAGTGTGCCTGCATAGTTCCTATTCTATTCTTTAAAAAAACAGACTTGGGGTGGGGAAGGTTCTCCGGCGCGATCCTGAGGCGCGGCTCGCGCGCCCACCCCCGCCCCGGCCTCCAGCGCCCACCGGGTCGGCCCGGCCCCGGCCCGGCCCAGCCATGATCAAGGCGATCCTCATCTTCAACAACCACGGCAAGCCGCGCCTCTCCAAGTTCTACCAGCCCTACAGTGAAGACACACAACAGCAAATCATCAGGGAGACTTTCCATTTGGTATCTAAGAGAGATGAAAATGTTTGTAATTTCCTAGAAGGAGGATTATTAATTGGAGGATCTGACAACAAACTGATTTATAGACATTATGCAACATTGTATTTTGTCTTCTGTGTGGTTTCTTCAGAAAGTGAACTTGGCATTTTAGATCTAATTCAAGTATTCGTGGAAACATTAGACAAGTGTTTTGAAAATGTCTGTGAGCTGGATTTGATTTTCCATGTAGACAAGGTTCACAATATTCTTGCAGAAATGGTGATGGGGGGAATGGTGTTAGAGACCAACATGAATGAGATTGTTACGCAAATTGATGCACAGAATAAACTGGAGAAATCCGAGGCTGGCTTGGCGGGTGCCCCGGCCCGTGCCGTATCAGCTGTGAAGAATATGAATCTTCCCGAGATCCCGAGAAATATTAACATTGGTGACATCAGTATAAAAGTGCCAAACCTGCCCTCTTTTAAATAAAAAAATTAAAAGACCACTCCCAGGTAAAATCCAGGGGGGAAAGTCATCCAAGTTTACCATGCATTTGTTTACCAAAAACAGAGGAGAGTCTTACGTGCCGCTCCTGGATCTGAGTCAAGGTACTGGATAGAGCTGTGTAAGATCGCCCGGAATTCAGTGTTGCTTTTCTTGCTCAGTGATTTTAAAGAAATCGAGTAGTTCCTGTGTGATTTTCTTTGTGTTATGGTCTGCATTCCTGTACCCACCTGGGGCATGCCCTCCGTCTTGGCCGCCGTGGCAGCATGCCCAGCAGTGCTTGGGGGCTCCTGCAGGATGGCCCACCCGTCCGGGCAGGAGCGTTGGTGGGGAGCACAAGTGCAGCATCGCTCAGTTCTTTCTGTTCTTTGTCACAGTTGTTATTTAAAGAACCAAGTGTGTATTGCATGAAAACATTATGATCTCTTCCTCTTAGTTTAAATAAACTCCAAGGTAACTGGACTTCTAACACCTCTTTCTGTTTGTCTGATATCTACTTTAGCAATAATTTTTTTATGACCCTCTGATCAAAAAGTAAATAAAAGTATATTTTATCACTGTTTAAAAAAAAAAAAACCAGACTTGGGGGAGGGGCTGCCACCATGCCAATACAATCACATGGCAGCTGGGGCATCCCTGCCATCATCGCCACCACCACACACACGTTAGGGGCCCAAGCAATACCCAGAGCCAGGGGACTGGGGACAATTTAGAACATGGGCCTTTGAGGACTTGTCTGCACCAGCAGATAACTAACCAAGGGAACTGGATGGGGGATTCCAGAGGATCTCCCCAGGTCAGGCCAGCATACCTGCTGGTGCAAATGAAAGCTGGGGCTGGGGCAGATGGAGCCAGGCCTGGCTGTAGCACTGGCTGGCACTCATGAGATCCCTGTCTTGGGTTTGGGTCCCAGAGAGATTCTTTAGGGTCATCTAAAGAGGGCACAGTATCTGCCAGTGCGCAAAAAAGCCAGGCTGTGAAGTGGGCTGGATTAGGCCAGGCAGATGCCCCCTCTAGTACACGTGTGGGTTGGTGCAGGGAGTGGGCTGCACTGGTTCGCATGAGAGTTGGGCTGGTGGCAGGGCTGGCCAGGCAGATGCACCGTCCAGTCCATGTGTGGCCTGTGGCCTGGTGCAGGCTGGGCCTGACCCTACCTCAGCTACCATAAAAGAGCCAGGTCTGAGGATGCCCAGGTAGGGTTTCTTAGAGGCTCCCCAACTAGACCACTGTGCTTAATCCCCTGCCTCAGAAAAATCCCATGAACATGTGGCCCAACCTTGGAGCACATGTTGCAGAACTGAGACACATCAGTTGCTGACTTCCGTGTAAGAATGGAGAACATAACCAGATGAAGATGAAAGACAATACATGCAGCTCATCTAAGCCAACAGAAGTATTCAAGTACCTCATCAAAACACAGAGAACAGGACACGATGAATGACACCTTAGCCCGTGAGACCACTGAGGTAGACAACGACATTTTCTTGTAGTGCATATGGGTGCTTTTTCATGTCCCAGCTGCTCCACTTCCCATCCAGCTCCCTGCTTGTGGCCTTGGAAAGCAGTGGAGGATGGCCCAAAGTTTTGGGACCCTGCATCCATGTGGGAAACCCAAGAGAAGCTCCTATCTTCAGATTGGCTCAGTTCCTGCCATGGTAGCCACTTGGGCAGTGAGCCAGGAGATGCAAGAGCTTTCTCTGTGTCTCTCACACTCTCTGTAATTCTTTCAAGCTAAAGAAGTAAATCTTTTCTTTGCTTCAAAGAAGGCAACGCTGTACCCACGTTAGTGGGAAGGCATCCAATGGAAGTGCAGAGGTCAGGGACGAGCTGGATTTTGGCAGGGCAGAGGTCAGGGATGACCTGGGCTTTGGAAGAGCAGTGGCCAGGGATGAGCTGGGCTTTGGAAGAGCAGTGGCCAGGGATGAGCTGGGCTTTGGCAGCGTTTGCCAGAGAATACGTACCTGAGATTCTCTCCACCTCCTCCAGCAGCTTCCCCAAGTCCTTGTTCAGGTCTGACAACATTTTCAGCATGTTGTCACAGTTCCGTTCTCCAGGCTCGGAGTCAGCCATCTAGGCGTGCACAGAGAGAAGCTGCTGTAACAGACCATCATTTCAACACACGGCTCTACTGCTTTTAGCTCATGATTCCTCCCGTCTGGAGCTGGACAACACTGCTTGTTACACGGCCCTGCTGTGAAGGGCCAAACCCAGTGTTGGGCACGTTAGTGGTCCCTCTGCTTTCTTCTTTTCTTGACACACAAACCCTTTAAACATAGCTGAACGCTAGGATGATTTAAGTGAAAGATAATTTTATTGGTCAGAAAGGGAAAAAAATGTTCACCATGATGATGATGATACAATAGTGAAAATCATGGGACTGGTGTGGTGGTGTAGTAGGGCTAACCCTCTGTTTGCAGTCCCAGCATCCCATGTGTGCTGGTTCAAGTCCTGGCTGCTCCACTTCTGATCCTGCTCCTTGCCTGTGGCCTGGGAAAGCAATGGAGGACAGTCCTTGGGACCCTGCACCCACAGGGGAGGTCAGGCAGAAGCTCCTGGCTCCGGCTTTGGACTGGCCCATCATGGCCATTTGAGGAGTGAACCAGCAGATGAAAGATCTCTGTTCCACACTCTCCTTCAATTGTTTCAAGTAAGATAAACAAATCCTTTAGTAACAGTAACATTTATTGTTGTCAAAGTATTTCTTAAAAGATGTATTTGTTTGAAAGGCAGAATGATACCAAAAGAGGGAGAGCTAAAGTGACATCTTCCATCTGCTCACTCACAACCACCAGGGCCAGGCCAGGTCACATCAGGAATGTAAACTGCTGTGCCGCAGTGCCCATCCTAGCACAAATGATCTGAGTGCCCGCTCAAGGACAAGCTGCTGTATTGGCATGGAGATACACTGCCAACATCGAAGGAATTTCCAGAGTAGTCATACTCTGCATCTTATGACGAATGCTGCCATGATGTGTAAATCTTCACTGATGCAATAACAGATATAGATACAAAGCTCTGACAATCTGGAGGGCGCACTGTGGCACCAACATCCCCATGAGCTACAGCTTGTTCCAGCTGTCCCACATCCGTTCCAGCCCTCTGCTAGTGTGCCTGGAGGTGGAATCCCTGTCCCCAACGTGGGAGACCCAGATGAAGCTTCTGGCTTCAGACTGCCTGGGCCAGGCTGTGCAGCCATTTGGGGAGTGAAGCAGCAAATGCCAAATTCTCTCCCTCTTTCTCCTTTTTTTCTCTGTAACTCCATCTTTAAATAAACAATATATAACAACTACTTTAAAATAAAATAAAATACGAAACAATTCACAAATCTGCAGAAGAAATTATTTCAATTGAACTCTCCGAGGCCCTGGAGGTCTCACAGAAACCGAGTCCATCAAGCTCGGCTCTCTCATGTCAGCTGTGCCACTTAGAGCAACTCACTTCTCTCCCTGACAATACACTCTATTACTTACAAAAAGATTATTTATTTGAGAGTAAGGGTTACAGAGGGGGAGAGAGAATGTGCGCGTTCATCCACTGGTTCATTCCCCAGATGGCTGCAGTGGCCAAGGCGGGGCCAGATGAAAGCCAGACATCGGACGCTGCATCTGGGTCTCCCACGTGGGTGTAGGGGTCCAAGTATCTGGGCCATCCTCTGCTGCACCAGCAGGGAGCTGGATCAGAAGTAGAGCAGCTGATGGGACGGAGTCCATTTCCTATCAGAGACCCTGCTGCACCTACTGATGTGAATTCTGGAAGGCTCAAGTGCCTGGGTCTGTCTGCTACACAGAGACCATTTCAGCCTCACACACTTTGGCCTGGCCCAGTCCTGTCTGTTGCAGGCTTTTCCGGGAACAACTGGATGAGAAATCTGTAGCCTGTTTTTCTTGCTATCTTTTAAATAAATACATAGAACTTTTAAAAAACAGACTTACTAATAGTATCTGTATCTTACAAGGTTCTATAAAAATTAAACCATGTCATACACTGTTCGATACAGCAGGCACCCTGATCAGCACTTATCTAATCATGTCTTATTGCTACTTAGAACACTGCGCAGTAACTAAATCACCCAGATTCTCTTCTAGTCTTTATTAATTCCATTAGTATTTGATGCTTGCCTATTTAAGCACAAAGTGCTGGACCAGAGAAGATGGGAGAGAAGTGGATTGATAAAGCTGTAGGGGCTGTTGGGATTCATAGCCTTGTGAAGGCAGAGAACAGGCCAGGGGAGAGCAAAACAGGGAGGCATGGCCACAGATGCACGTACCTGTGGCCTCCTCTGTCGTCCCCACAGATGTGGAGGTCCTGCAGAACAGGGGCTGTCGTTCAACAAACTATTTCTAGTGTTTGGCTCAGAGTTAGGGAAAACAGCAAACGTTGACTAAATAGTAACCGAATAAAAGAAGGAAAGTCTGCTATAAACTGCTCACTCTTCTAGAAGGTTCCAGCTTTCACCCTCTAGTCACCTTCCCTGTGAAGGGCCAGAATTTGGGATGAGAAGCAGAAAGCTCCCTCAGCAGGTAGGGGAGGCAGGTCTGGGAACGTGGGGTGCAGGGCCCAGACATGTGGTCTTGTGGGATCTGTAAGTTCCTTCCGTGGGCTCAGAGTTATTTCACACTTGACGACTCCATCCTTCCAGCTGGTCGTTGTCTTCTTTTTGTTAAGTAGGATGAGGCTGACAGGCATGAGTGGGAGGCAGGGAAAGGCGAGGTGGCAGAGCAGGAGGGTAAGCATGGGAGAGGGAAGAATTGCCTGGAAAACTTCCCTTCACACTCGGTCTCATGGAACTCTCCCCACTGCCCGACCCCACCGACTTTCCCTGCCAGGTCTCACACATTTGCCTGCCTGTTACCCATTGTTGTCAGCTACTCCCTATCGCATTCCCAGCCAGCACACCCAGAGCACTCCCTGTCCTCCTGTGGTCTGGAACCTCTGCAGCCCTGGCCTAACCCCCTCTAGTATTTTAGCTGGGTCCTCCCTGAGCTCTGACCTGGCTCTGCTTGCTTCCTGCTGCTCTCGGCTTTGCTGGCTCTGAAGTGTTGGTGAGCCTCTTTCAGCCCTGTGTCTTGGCCCCTCCCATGTGGGGTACCCAGAAACTCCTAGCTCCTGGCTTCCGACCAGCCCAGGTCCAAATGTTGCAGCTACTTGGGGAGTGAGCCAGTGGATAGAAGACACCACTCTCGGGCGCCATGGCCTAGTGGCTAAAGTCCTTGCCTTGAATGCGCAGGGATCCCATAAGGACGCCGGTTCTAATGCCGGTGGCTCCACTTCCCATCCAGCTCCCTGCTTGTGGCCTGGGAAAGCAGTTGAGGGTGGCCCAGACCCTGCACCCACATGGGAGACCTGAAAGAGGTTCCTGGCTCCTGGTTTCGGATCGGCGCAGCACTGGCCATTGGGGTCGCTTGGGGAGTGAATCATCGGTCGGGAGATCTTCCTCTCTCTCTATATGATTTTGTAATAAAAATAAAT